CGGAGAAGAAACCCTTTACCCCAGCTGTAACGCGCCGTGATGTGTGAGCGACATGAACAAACGCAACCCCACGCTGCACTTAATTTAATTCCACTCTTCCTGCCCCGAGCTACAACTCCCTTCGTTTTCATTTTTCCTCTGAATTCCCACAACTCAGACCTCTTTGATTTCCAGGTTTAATTAACAATGCTCATTAAATGAATTTTTATTCATTTCTTTTAATATTACCCTGCCACCTGTCTTTAGGAGGCAAGGGCTGATCATTTATTCTAATTTATTTCTGTTAAAGATGGCATTTAAGGAAAGGAGGAGGGATGTGCAGAGGTATAAAGGGCTGATCTACTCAAATCTCTTCATCCCCCTCAAATGCTGTTCAAGGACGCTGCTCCTGAAACTTCTGTATTTATTTTCCACCAGATCCGTTTCCTTTGCTAGCAAAAATTGGATTGGACATGCTGTATTTTGCAGTTATGTTCCAGTTCATTCTTAATGTCCCTTGCTCGCCTAGTCCGTATAATGTTGAGTCTTTATTTATCTGAAAGAGGCGAAACTGTGCAAAATCCGGGTGGGAAGAGCCACGAGCCAGCCTAAGTGTGGGACCGCTGGGCAAGCGAGAGGATGCTCTCCGGCGGCAGCTCGGAGGGAAGCCGTGTTTCCACCCAAAACCGAGACAGAGCAGAGGAAACCTGCAACACTGACAGACAAAGGGAAGGAAAAACAGAAGGTAAAGCTGCCCTGCTCCCACTGAGCGCGCTGGGCAAACTGGGCTGTGGCAATGCGGTGGGCCGGGGCAGGGGGCCGGGGCAGCCGGTGGGCAGGAGGCAGCCGTTAGGTCACCGGTGGTGATGACAAGCAATTATTCGCTTTAACCTGCTGTCTCGAGGTGCCAGGCAGGGCCAAGCACCGTCACACCGGGTGATGCACACACGCTGTCCCAGCAGCTCCCTGGTTCTGTTACTGGTTCAGCACGGCCAGAGCAGTTGCTGGGGGTCACCTGAACACAGGGCACTCAAACGCAGCTCTCCACTACCTGCTCTTTAGCCTCCCGGTCTCAGGAGCACACGCACACCCAGCTGTGCCCATGTTTTGCTCTGCCACACGTCCTTCGTGTTTGCTAACAGGATGACATGATCACGCCGAGGTCCTCAACGTGCGAGCTGCCCCCTCGCCCCCAGCTATGGGGAGTGTTCGCTCTCAGTCTGGTCTCCGCCCCAGGGACCACTTGTTGCATTTGCACCCAAGCCAGAAATATCTGAAAAACTGGTTTTGTAAGAAAGGTCCCAGTGCTCCTTCCCAGGGAGATCATCAATAGGTATGTTGGCTCTTCCAGGAGCATGTGAGGGGCTTGAGGCAGCAACCTCTGCTTTCGGGGGAGAGCGGCAAAAATACCGGCCAAGTAGGGCGGTGGGGGCATGGAAACACAAGTATTGAGCACAGCTCTCTGCCCCGGCCAAAGATGAACTGGTCCTCCAGAAGCCTGGCTCTCATCTGCGCCTTTGAGAAACGTGGGCTGCTCCTATCATTTCCCGTATCCCCTCTCCGGGAATCCAGGTGGGGAAGGGAGCTCTGTCCTACGGAGCTGGAGAGCTGGGCAGGGCTGTGGGGAGAAGGACAGGTGTCGAGGGGTGGGCAGGGAACGGGGCAGCCCCCCTCGCCGCTCAGGCCTCGCACCCTCACCACCCCTGCTACCTCTCGCGGCGAGAGGTTTGTGGGAGGGGGCTGTGCTTGGTTCCTGCAGCACGGCAGCCAAATAACAACCTCAGGAAACATTTAATTTTATTGCCAGTGCTTTTGGGGTGATGTGAATAAACACTGTAAGATAATGTATGCCATGGTTGGGTTTGCAATGGCATTATGACATTTAAGCTGTCAAAGCGGAGCAGAATGTGCATCTGCTCCTCTGGGGCCTTATCCATCTTGTCCAAGCCACGGTGAACGATCATCTTGGTCCTGGGGAGCTCGCCTCGGTGTTGAAAACGCCCTGGGAGATAAAGCACGGTTTGCTCTGGGTGTTGCTGGCTGCAATCCCACTCGGTGCTGGGATCTGAAAAGGCTGTGGCAGCCAAGGGACGTTAGGTAATGCCATCATCCACCTTTCTGGCACTAGAGGATCGATGCCCACAGATGCCAGCTGCCGACGGCAGAACCTGCGGCTGTGCTTGCAAAGCTCGAGGTGGCCGAGGAGTCACCCCACAGCCTTTGAAGCCTTGGCCAGGCTGCTCGGGCACCATCTCCCTTGCGCTGGGCTGAGCCACCCCGGGCATGCCGGGACCTGCAGATCGGCACAAGCAGAGCCAACGGAGACGCCCACATGGCAGGAGCTCCTCCACCAGCTCCGGTGCTCTCCCCTCCTGAACGTGTTGTGCTCCCTGTTGTCAGAGCCCAGGGGTCTCGGGGAGGGAAAACAGCCTTTCAGGGGTGCTTTGTCTGAGAACGTGTTTGGAAAGCGGTGTCCTGGGCTAAGAGAGCAGCGGTCTTGCTCAAGGAGCCCCAGCATCTACACAACACACCTCCTCTGGCATTCAGCCTGGTAACACACCAGGGCAAGGCCGGTGGCTCACCCGACCTGCTGTCAGCTCACGAGCAGCCAAGAGAAATGTGTTCTGCGCTGTGCGAAGAAACAAGTATATGCGGAGCCATCAGGGTCTCTGGGAGGGTCTAGCTCTGGCAAGGCCTGGATGGTCCTTCCACACCTGATGGCACTTCCCATTGAAGAGCATGAGAACGAGAGACAGGTGCTCCTCTCCAGGCACCCACCGGTGGCCAGACCCCACTGCCCTAGGATGTGGTGAAGGATAAACCGGAGGACTTCCCTGGGCTCTTGGTTTGCTCCCAGGTAGCCTGCCTAGGAATTAAAGCCCAGCAGCCAAAGGCCTGCAGGTCTAGGACCGTTCTGGTCTTGGACGGTGTCCTGCAGGCCCAGCCTGGATCTCCAGTCAGGTGTTGTGGAAGCTCCTACCGCTGCCCACGGGGATGAACGGCGGCCAAGCCAGCACTGCTAACCACAGCGAGCCCAGCGCAGTGCCGGAGGAGAGCACCCTCCTGCTGATACAGGTGCATATCTCTCATTAGCACTAATGATAGCCTTTCGTTAACGGGAAGCCCGCAGCCTTTGACCAGAGGCAGAACGGCATACGGGACTGGGAGCAGTTGAAGGTAAAGCATTTGGGGGTTTGGATGTTTTTGCTGACAATCTGAGATGCGTTTCTGACTCTGCCAGTGCACTGATCTTTCCCTGTGGTGCAGGGATGAGGAGTTCTTGGCAGGACGGGGAGATCCTCCCGGCCCACGCTCAGAGTTATGCTCTTTTCCAAGGCCAGGAGGTTCATTTGCTTGTTTGGCTTGCATCGCTCTCTTCTGGCAGCACCTACCTTTGTTCCAACTTGCATTCACTTTTCAGGGCTGAGCTGGAAAGATCAGAAAGATACTTCTCCTGAGCAGCAGTAGCCTCCTCCTCTCCAGTTGTGTAAAAGGCGTTTGCTTTCATAAAGCAGTGAGCTAAAAATATGGTGTAAACCAGGAATCCACCCAGACTCAGCCCTCCTTTTGAGAGAGCTCCTTGCTTGATTTTCTCTCAATCAGATGATTCCACAGCCGCCCCCCAGCACGAGTTTTGAGGGCAGCCAGGATCAGTGCCTTGGTCTGGCGGGAGAGCTCTTCCCGGCGAGGCTGCTGCTCCCAAATTGCTCCTCGACTGACACCTGGTGGAAAAGCCTCCCGGACCAGAGTCATCCTCCTCCCTTAGCCGAGCTCCGAGATACCGCCCTGTCCCGGCTGCTCTTCCTGGGTTTTTTCTGTGTTCAGGCTCACAGCCCGGCAGCCCAGGCTGCAAAGGGATTTACTCCCCCAGGGTACTTGTGTGTACATTTGTACACCTGGCCTTTCCCCTCTTTCTCCTCTGTCAAGCAAACAGTACTCGTCGGTCTGCAGGGAGACAGCGAGGTGTAATCCACTCATTTCTGCTTTCACAATCTGCACCCGAAGGCTCTGGAGAGCCCAGGTTGAACCCCTCGCCTTGCAAGGGTGGACCCCCTGCCCCGTACATCCCATCCCTGCAGCGAGAGGGAGACTGAGCAAACGCAAATCCCCACGGCCGTGCCTCGTGCAGGTGCTTCACAGGGCAAAACAGGCACAAGCAAGCAGTGCTGTGAAGGTTTTCTAGGTGTGAATTTGGGATGACGGTACCAGTGGCGGGTACGAGCGGGGGTGTCGTCCCCCAGCACGGCAAAAGGGCCTTCATATGTCTTCGCAGCAATAGGGGACAGGTCTGTGTCAATTTACGCGAGTTATTCTTGCTGCTATCGGTAAATATTAAACTTTTTCCTGTTCCTGCCTTTTGCAGGCTTCTATGTGTAGTGCCAAATTACTTTATTAACATATGCAGGCCTCTGACATAAAATAAGGTGACATCCTGAAGGGCTTACTGTGACAAAACTGGGAGAGTATGTTAACAGGAGAAGCCGGCTACCTCTCAGGGCCCTGGGCAGAAATAAATCCCACGCTGCAGGAGTTTGAAAACAAACCAACAGAAAACATCTTTAATAATGAACCAGCCTGTTTTTAAAGACAGAAGGTCAAGTGGGTACATGTTGAAATGTTCCGAGGCAGCAACAGTTCTGCACATCAGGTTGTGGACAGTGCAAATCCCGCTGAGCTTTGCTGCATCACTTCAGTTTTATAAAGTTTGGTCACTTAAATGTTCTCTGGCCCCACCTGGCACCAAAGGGTGCGTGAGAAATGTCAAACGGATCTTGTGCAGGTGTCTGGCTTCATTTCCCACACCAGGGTGCTGCTGGCTCTTCAGCACTCAGACAGACACTGTTCCAAAGCTGCCATACCATAGAGGTTGGCCCACTCCCTGCCGTGGTGTGACAGGATCACGTCCCTGCACGGCTTGCTGGCTCTGGCCAGCTCTACCAACACGCTCTGGAAAGCGGCGATGAGTTCAAAATCCACCGAGGCTGGAGTGACGCGGGTCAGGAACTCCGACAAGCCTTCCAGCCACTGTGTCTGGAGGACGGCTTGTGGCAGCCCGGGGAAAAGGGGGACGGAGCCCGCCCCA